CTTTGTACAGTTCTCCGTCTGGGAGGAGGCCCTTCCTGAAAGCATCCACAACAGTCTCAGGGTTACAGGAGGGGATAGAGATCTTTTCCTTATTGAATCTGCTGACATATTCTCTCAATGGCTCTCCCCTTCTCTGGTATATTCGGTATAGGTCGGCCGATAGTTTCTCTAGTTTCTTGCTGCTGGCGAATTGCTCCACGAAGGTGTCAGTAAGCTGGGCGAATGAGTCGATGGATCCGTTCGGGAGGTTCGTATACCATTGGAGTGCTGGTCCAGATAGACTAGAACCGAAACTCTTGCACATGCAGGCTTCCCTAAGCGGTCGGGGTATTGAGACTGTAAACATTCGCTGCTTCTACGAGGCTATGTGGTTATCCGGGTCGGTGGTACCATCGTACGGTTTCATGTTGGGGATGGTGAATTTCTGGGGCATGTCGGCCAGGGCGATCTCATCCACAAAGGGTGAATCAGCATAACTGTGGGGTCTACTCTTCTTGGTTGGGACCGGCATACCTGGAATGCGTTTCATCACTGGCTCGACGTTGGCCAGTCTTTTGGCCAATACTTGTTCCATAGGGGAGGGGGATACTACCGGGTCATTCTGTCTTACTGGATTTGCTGCTGTATTTGTTCTCAGCACATCCCGTTGGGTCATCCCTCGTGGGGTAGCCTGATAGGTCGTTCTGTCGTGCAATCCTTGATAGCATGGATCTTCGTTCATCCCTTCCGGTTGGATGACTCCCATTGTCACTGTTCTGTTGTTCCGCCCCACATGAATGGTCAATGGAGTCGACTTGTAGTCGCTCAGTCGGTCAGGGTGGATGAGCTCGAGCGCTGGAGTTGGTTTGGTTTGGCCATTCAACCCGCGAGGGTGAGCCGAGCCGAGTGGGGTTTGTGTTTGGGTCGTGGATTGGAGGTGGAGCGGGATGGGGAGAGTGGGTTGGTCTTGTGGGTGTGGGCTTCCGTTATTGGATTATCTTGGTTACGAGGTTGGGATGAGTCGACTGGATGGTGTTCTGTTGGCATATCTTTGTCTCCATTGGTCAAAACGGAGTCGTCCAATGCCAGCGCACTTAATGGATACGGCTCTTTACCGAAGATTGAGGGCTGATGCTCTGGTGTGGAGAGTGGTTGCATGGATGGGATAGCGGCGCGGAACCGATTGGGAGGTACTTGGTTGGGCAAGAACTCGAGATCATAGAATTGACCCACCTTCTCTTTTAGAGCCTGGTTTTCAGCCCTAATGGACGCGTTTTCGGTCCGGATTGCATTGTTCTCGGCTTCCAGCGCGGCCACCTTGTCTGAATTTTGTTGCATGAGAGAGGTCAAGACCTCCAGTCTGGCCTCAAGGCCGGAGTTAGTGTTGTCGGGATTGTCGGCCATGGAATGTTCCTCCACGTAGCAAGGTTCGTCAAGCCGAATGATCGCTAGAGTCCCCACGGTGGGCGCCAAACTGTAGACGTAAAAATCTACCTGTAAGGAAAGGGGGGTCTGATCCCGCGAGGTTGAGGCCACTAGCGATCCGCTGTACCTGCACATGTAGGAAACACACTCGTGAAGCGAACGGGAAACACCGGTGTGGTGTTTGCCGTAGGCACTCCGACGCTCAAGTCAGCAAGGCTGAAGGGTAAATATAGTGAGGGCTAGGGAATAAAAGGTTATCGGAAGTTTAGTCGGGGATCGTGACTACGGCGGTGATGTGAAGCTCTCAAGTCAGAGCTTTCAGTGTGAAGGTTGAATGTCCTTTGTGAGAGGGCTGGCCTCTGCTTATATAGTGACTGTCTGGTCTCCCAATCCTGGTAGAAGTAGGAGTCCTAGTATGACTCTAATGCAAACCCTAGAAGAATTAGGGCCGTGTTAAGTTGTCTTACCAGTGTCCGAATAGGAAGGTGATTCTGATTAGGAGAGTAACTTCGAGCAGGAAAGTGATCAGGAATGGGAAGTATTATGAGGAGATCTTGGGCTCTATACTCACTCATGTACTTGGGAAATGGGCTGGGATTAGGAGGCTCGTGCCCACGTGGTCTGGGCCGGCTNCCTCAATAGTTTGGACTAAGTTTGCTCTCCGTTAGCCGTCAATTGAAAAGTATATTCTGGATAGTAAACAGAATATAAACTTTGGGTGAGACAGTGGTGTTTTGAAATTTTTTGGGTGAGAGAGGTCATTAAGACAAACCTTGAGTGGGTTAAAGTCGTTTACTCTTAGAAATATGATATTTTATATTGTTCTTTGACTCACTTTTCTTTATGTTTATTGATTATTATCTAATTAGTTGAATTTACAAATAAGATTGTGTAACCTTTTACCATTTATTTCTTCAATCGAATAATAATTTTTCATATTTGTCAAAATTTATTGTGGAAAAAAAATTAAAAATCATTCGTAAATAAACGAAGGAAATCATTGAACGTGGCTTATATTCTTGTCCGGGACATCAAGCAATGAAACCTTCATGCAAAACCAACCTTTGTTGGTTCAGGATTACACATGCGCGTTTGGTGGCACTTTTAATATCAAGGATTCTGACAATTTCCTCCTCAAGGTTATAAAAACTATCAAACGCATCCAAAAATTTTACAAAGTAATAAATACGCCCACAAGATTGACAAAATTAGGTAAAATAAGTTACTTTACTATTTATGGATTTGTTTAATTATAATAGTCTTCAGCTTTTATTTCCTCATTTTTTATTTAATTATATAAATCGTAATATTTATTAACCAAGTTGATATAACAAATTATAATTAATATAGATATATGAATATTTAAATTATTATTTTATTTTATACAATAAACTAAAATCTTCATTTAGTGACTAGCGATGACGCTTGGGTATGGTCTTTTAGAGCCATAGCTATAGTGCACTGGTTGTTTGTTACTTGTTAAGACAGGCCTAATGTAAGCCATTTGTGATTGTGTCCAACCCTTTCTCGTCCAAAATTAGCTGCCATAACTCTCTCTTTTTTTTTTGGTAACTAGGGTGTCCGGCCAGTTTGTGCACACGTCAACTAATTATTGAGGTCTATTGAACACCCTACAAACCCAAAAGACCAAGTAAGTTGCGATGTTATTGTGGTAGGTGGCTCCAAGATTTGAACCTAGTGTAACCAATCCCTCTTTGAAAGCGTATTGGGGAGGTTCGGGGCTTATAAATGGGGAAAGTCTCTCCACCTAATAGATTAGCATTTTGAGTGTGAAACTCCTAGCCCATGACAAGTGATATCATAGCAGACCTGATCCGTCTTTTGATGTCTTGCCAAGGACCTATGTAGAGGCATCCACGTGTGATTGTGAGTTCACACGAGAGTGAGGTGGACGGGTAGGCAAGGGCCCCACCTGTAACGAGGGCGTCACTGGATTGGGTGGGGAAGAATGTAATCAATTCCACATCAAAAGCGTATTGGGGAGGTCCTAGGCTTATAAATAAGGGGAGTCCCTCCACCTAATAAGTTAGTCTTTTGGGTATGAAACTCTCAACCCATGACACTAGGAACTCAAGTAAGGGAATAAACCTTCTTGATCACTATGCCAACCCCTTAGGGTTATCGTCATAGTTAGTAAATACGGGTACAGCAAAAAAATGATACAAGAATTTTACAAGTATGATACAACAAATGGTGAAACATACGTTTATAAGAATTTGGTCATAAAATTCGGATACGGAAAAAATACGGTACAGGTATATACGAGTTTAATACAACACATAGTCAATAATACGTTTTGAAAAATACGACCATATCAATCATGGTTTTAGCAATTTTCATGGACCACCTAGTTAAAATCAATATAGCATTTCAAATGCAAAGTATTCAATTAATCAATAACCATTAGACCTAATAATAAACATAAATAGACAATATATAACTGAGATTCAAATTATAATCTTAAGACTCAAACACCAAACACCAAACACATAACAAAACCAAAATTCAAAGTCAAATTAGAACTCCAAACAAATAAAATACACAAATAATACAACCAAGATTGAAAGAGAAGAAAAGATCAAGACTCAAGAGTCAAGAGATGAAGAAAAGAGAGTTAAAGAGATGAAGAGTTGTTGAAGATTTGAAGAAGAGATGAAGAACTGTCGAAGAGAACCGGGGAGAAAATCTTTTAATTTTTTAGTCAAATCCCATCCAAAGCAATGTCGTTTTGGCTTTTCCCTTAATGATTTTTTTGCCTACAATAATTCGCAAATTATACGGTAATCTTGATAAAATACGTAAATTCGAGTTTTATACATAAATTATATGACCAGCCGTATAATTCACGTATAAAACGCGAATTTACTAACTAGGGTTACCATAACTCAATTTTCTTCATCAAACCATTTCATATAGGTTGGAAAATGAGAAGATTATTGGATATTTTATGTTTTATTTTAATTATAATTTACTATATAAAAACTAAATTAACAATTAACCCTAAAAAATAAATAACATGGGAGAGAGAAACATATAAGACAAAGGATAGTTTTTTCACGAAACAAAGTTATTCCATCATCGTTTTGAGTGTGTTTGTGACTTTCCAAAACTTTGGGATGCATTATAATTTTCTCAAACCATAAGGAGGAAATTGTTGTAAAAAAAAACCTTTAATATCATCATATCACACTCGTTGCTTATTGCTTGTGTGATTTTGGACCTTTTGGTCCTCGCCAATGGGTCTGCAAATTGTTTTAGTAACATTATTAAAATTAATTAACAATTATATTTCTAGCATTATTAAATTTAACATATGCTCCAAAGATCCTTATAAACAGTAAATTTAATTTAACTTATAGTAATCTAGGAGATTATAATATAAGTTATAATAGCAGGTAAAGTTATAGCGTGAAGAGTATTTTCCAAGATAAAAAGGGTATGATTGTACTTTCCTTTTTCAACAGCAATCAGTCTCGGTCTTCTCCTCCCATCTGTAATTTTTATTTCCTTTGGTCTCATATTCAGATTTCATACTTCAGAGGGAGAAAACAATTTTTTTTTTTCTTAAAAAAAGTAATAAATATCTAGAGAGAGAAAGAAAAATAAAATATAAAAGAATTAAATTGCGGAGATGGGTGAGGGTAGAGTCAAAGCTATGGCCTCAGCTTCAGCGAATGCGAAGCCCAACAAGGAGCTCACAACTAAGACCAGAGAAGAAGGCGAGCTCTTTTCATCAGACGACGACGTATTCTTGCTTCCAAAATTCCTAATATATTTTGCTTCCGCTTCTTGATTTTGATCTTCCATTCATCCAATTTCATCCTGTACACTTTTTTTTTTGGTTTCTTTCTTTTGTTTTTAATTACTTGTTTGCTGTTTCCTTGATGGGAAAAGAAAATAATATCATTTTGTTTCTTGAAAACTTCAACTCTGTTTGGTCAGCGAAGTATTTTTTTTCCATCTTTAAGTTTCAAAATCTTTGACCTAGAATTGTATTTTTGGAACTAGATTTTTGTTCTTATTTATGGAAACATTTGCATTTTTCTTTATTTGGACTTATCTAGCATCAGATCAATGCACTTTGAATGCTAGTTAGCTATTGTTAGCACTTTGATTGATCTTAGTTGATTTCGCATGATATTATTTTTTGAAAGTCTGAATTTGTGCTGTTAGTTTAATTCGGGTCAGTTGGATTTTAGTTTACTGCTTAAGAATTGTTTTAGTAAAATTGGTGTTATTTACATGTTCATAATTGAATATTTCTGAGTAAGCTATTTGTGTCCCATAGGAAAATCCTGCTAGCTCAGTTGCACCATCTATTGGTACTGTCGCCCCTCCTGGAGGGACTCTTTTTACAACTCTGACAAACAAACACACTCAAGGTACTCGGACCGGTAAGCCTTACCAGCTATAGTATGTGAGAATCAGGATTTTTTTGGATTGGGTTCTCTGATTGTATATCTTTATTTTGGGTCCAATTTCTGTAACTTTTTACGTTAGTATTGGTGTTTTTATATATATATTTGGCTTCCATTTAAACTCTTAGAATCTTATAATTATTTGTAATCTAGTCTATGGGTTTAGTAAAGTATTTGCATATGATTTTTGTACATATTGAAATGGTAATGTGTCAATATATTATAAGTGAAATTAATAACAACCATGATGGTTTTGGAAACATATAAAGTGCTTATATTCACTCTCTAGAGATGTAGTCTTTTGCTCTGTAATGATGAAGTTGGAGTTGAACCCATCGTGGTACATATGTTTTCTTTTTTAACCGCTTGTGTATTGTTTATCATTTTCATAGTTTTGCTGTGTGACCGTCTTGTTGGTTGAGATTGTGTTTTCTTGTAAACAACAAAGTGCTTGTCCTGAAATATCTTTTGATGGATTTATATCTACTTTCCAGTGAAGAATGTTTCTACCAATAATCTTTCAAGCTCCATTGATATTCAGTCCCGAACTTCCATTCAGCCAACCAATCAAAAGAGTTTTGAGAAGAATCGAGTGAAATTTAAATCAGGTAATCCTGTATGGTTTCCTACTTCAGGGTCGAACAATAACCTTGTGATAAGCTTCTCAGATGGTGACAGTGGCAGTGACTCTGATGACTACCAGCAAGAAAAAACAACTGCGACTAAATCCATCACAACTGGGTTGGATAGCTATGGACAACCACCTGCTGTGTCAGTGGTGAAAACCAGCAAACTACATCAAAATGCCAAAAATGTAAACAAAATAATACCCAAGAAGTTATCCTCAAACCGTATATTTGTCTCGTCAATGACAAAAATTCATGGAGGAGCCAATTCCAGGGCTGCTGAGCAAGGATCTCGAGTTAGGAATATTAATAACCCTAACAAAAAATTAGGAAGCCAAGAGCGTGGTTTTGACCCAGGAGTGGGTTTGAAAAACAGTAAGCTTCAGGACTTGAGGCAGCAGATAGCACTTCGGGAAAGTGAACTAAAGCTTAAGGCTGCCCAGCAAAATAAAGATTTGGCTGTTGTGCAATGCAGGGATTATCATGCTATGAATCTAGGCAAGGAAGCAGCAAGGAAATATCAATTGCCTTCTGCAGATGTTGGACAGTTGGAACGAAAAGTACCAGACAAGAAACGCTTGAAAGTAAGTGGATCTTATTCTCACCGGATAACTTCAGATAGCCATCAAGAAATTCCTGCTGCAATATCTATTATGCCAGTGAAAGAGCCTACATTGGAGAACAGTATGCGTGACAGAAATAAAGTTGATCATATACAGAAAGACATTCCTGTAAGCAGAATAGAGTCAAGCATTGTTAAGCAACACAAGCAGGATGATAAACGTATTGATGTTCTGCCAGAAAATAGACCTAGATCGGTGAAAGATGGTAACCATTTTGTTATTTCTCTATAATTGGAGTGTTATACTATAGAACATTTGAGATGCAATAACGAATAGGACTGACCTTTTCTGCAGTTGCTGATATCAATTCTAGTGGCAATCAATCTGATAGGGATAGAAGGCTGGATCCTGTTGTGTTAAACCAAATCGCAGCACCGGCAAATAAAATGTCCAGTTCTTTGCCAAAGAATTTAGTAAGTTAATGTTTGAGGAATAAATTGCTTAAGGTTTGTTAAGTTGCATTTTGTGATTGTATGGTTGACCTATAAGGATCCTGCTTCTTGTGTATCATTTTTACTGCAATTGCTCTACATTTATGTATTCAGTGACCTTTGCTTGGCCTTGCTTATATTATAGGTTTGTTACAGTCATGCTTGGTATTGTCCAGTCTATGTAATAGTAGAAATTTGGTGGCAAGGATCATGTGCATTTGCACTTTTTACAAGATAGATATGAAGCTTCATGAAGTATTGTACATTTTTTTTTTTTTTATACTAGGAGAGGAATGTTGTCTCCTACTTGTAAATGGACTTTTGTTGTTGAACTATATTGTATGGTTGTAATACCAATTTTTACTGTATAAATCTTTGTCTACCAGGAGGTTAAATTTCTCTGTTCCCAGCTTTGGAAGTTGTGGTACTAGTGTTTCAAATAGATAACTGTAGTCATTTTTTTCTTAAATTTAGTATTAAGTTCAAACAGTCACCATTGCTTGAATGGTTGCTATATCAGGATTGGTTTTGGCTTAATTATTGATATTATGTAACTTTACAGGATAAAATGTTGGTAAATCATCCAAGTAAAACTGGTGGACATCCTACACCAAATTCTTTTCCAAACAAAGCAATTGGAGAACAGAATGTAATGAAAAGCAGTGACCATTGTAAAGCTATTTCTGGTGATAAGACTGTTGATTCTTCGTTCCATGATTTATGCCAGGTGTGTTTCTAGGATTCATATAGCTGATTGGAGGTCTACAATGTCTATGGTATATCTTTCAATGATTCTTTATTTTCATTCTAAACGTGTTGAAACCTTCTACCAGGTGAATAATGCAAGTTTGTGGAACTGTCTGGGTGATGCCAATGTCTCAGGACATGGCAATATGGATGTACAATCAATACTTGACATGGAGGAATTGACGGACAAAGAGCTGGAGGAAGCACAAGAGCATCGGCGCATGTGTGAAATTGAAGAAAGAAATGCTCTTAAAGCTTATCGTAAAGCCCAAAGGGCTTTGATTGAGGCTAATATGAGATGTACTAAACTTTATCGTCAGAGAGAACTGTGTTCAGCTCGCTTTCGTTCTTTTATGATGGATGAATCCAACTTACTATGGTCTTCTGGACTGCATGAACCTGTTGGGAATGGGTTGGATTTGTCAAATCACGTATCTGAAAATATGGACTTAATCCCGACATCAAGCCATCAGGTGCAGTCTGCCTATGATGGATTTAATCGACTAGGTTATGATTCGAATATCCAATGTGTCAATGGTGCTCCCCTCATTACGTCTTATCAGCATGCAAGTGGTCAAAATTTGGGGTCTGAACCTTGCAGTGAGCCAGATGCTAGTACATCAGAGCCATTGCCACGTAAAACTAAGAATGTTGTTCATGGATTAAGCTCTCCGTCCAATGAATTAAATGTTTCAGCTGATGAAAATGAAGAGACATTCCCCTTGGACCATGAATCTGTTCAACACAACTTTGAAGATAATCAAAAGGAACAAATTTCTGAAGGAAGGCAAATGGACAAAAATAGCAATGTCAACAAAAGTTCATCTATTGATGGCTCCAAGGATTCTTTACTTCTTGAAGCTACATTAAGGTCTGAACTGTTTGCACGGCTAGGAGTGAGAACTTTGTCAAAGAATAGTGGTCCATGTTACAATGTGGAGCCTTCGGTTGAACGAGGGCCTGAAAATGACATTGGAAGTGACAAAATGCAGACAAGTAATGGCAGTGTTCCATCTTCAGAAGGAGGACAAAGCCAGCAGCATTATATTGGAGGTAATTTTCTTTGGACAGACACTGTTTGTGGTCAGCATTTGGTTTATAGAAATATTTTTTGATTGTTAGTGTGTCCTGCTGAATGTAGAGTTTGATTGATCATCCCAATTAATAATATAATAGTATTTATTAATATAAAATGATAATATTATTGCAAGTACTGAAGTTAATTTACTGTTACTATAAATATTGGCGTGTTTTTTTTTTTTTTTTTTTTCTCTTGATTAAAATTATGTGTCTTAAACTATTGGAAAACAGTTATTATTATTGGTACTGTAATTAGTAGTTATAATTATATTTGTTGTTTTTGTTGTCATTACTATTATTCTTATTCTTAACCACTTAGTACAATTTCATTTTTAATTTTAGGCATTGATCAGCCAGAAAGAAGTTTTAGTGAGTCTCCTGTTCAGATCCATGATCAGGGCCATGCTGAAAAAAGTTCTTTACAGTTTCACTCTACTGCTGATTTTAAGGAAAATGAATTTTCCCGAAGAGCTCACCCTTCAACTGCTTCTGCATTATTTTCTCCTCCTTTGGTCCTGAGGAGTGTGTTTGGTCATCTGAAAGTTGGATCATCAATTGCTTTATCGAATATGACTAAAATTCAACGGAATCACTCACATAACTTTTACATTGAAGAGGGTGCTTGTTTCAACTCTAATGAACCTCAGGATTGGTATTTGATAGAAGACTCAAACCAGGAGAGTCTTAGTAGCATCTTTGGGAGAGAATTTGGCTCTTATACCTGCAATCTTGCTGTTGACCCATTTTGGCCACTTTGTATGTATGAGCTCCGAGGAAAATGCAACAATGATGAATGTCCTTGGCAACACGTGAAGGACTTCTCAAATGGAAAAATATATAAGCATCAGCATGGCGATTCTGATGGTGCTGGTATGATTATTCCAATAAACATTTCTGTTGTTTTTTACTTTTTGCTTTCATATTTAAGCTATTGCTTGTGCAGATGGTCAGGCTGGGTTAACAATACATCAACAGGATTCTTTTGGTGCTTCCAAGTGTTGCGATAATTTGACTCCACCAATATATATAGTTGGTTTAGATATATTGAAAGCTGATTCACAATATGAGTCTGTTATAGCTAGAAGACACGGACAATGCTGGCAGAAATGTTTCAGTATTACCCTAGTGTTATCAAATATGTTTCAGAAGGACTTACCTGCAGAATTCTTGCATTCCAGTGATGGACGTATTGAAGTGTGTGGGGGTTGGAATAGACAATTCTCTTATTTTCAGAGTAGAGATGGCGTAATGGTTTGTGTATAACATTGTAATTAAATTCTTCATTGTTATTGCACTGTTTTTGGTTTCATTGCATTGGACATACATATTTAAATCAGGTTTTAATGATATTAAAAATTTCTTTGACATGTATATGATAATTGTTTGTATTCATTTACTCTGAAACTCCTCCTACATCACAAATGATAGCTGTTTTTTTTAAGTTGTTTGGTTCACACTCTCATTCATGGTTTCCTTCTTGCATGGTATACCTAGAAGCAACTGAAACAAGCTATGCCTAATAATGTCCAATCTGTGGAAATGGCTCTTCTTTTTCTCAATCAAGAGGCTGGCAGATTAGAGAGTATAAGAAAGGTAACCTTGCCTGATTACATCATTAACCTTTAGTATTCTAATCATGATTATAATCTTTTATTCCTGCAATAGTCTCAAATTCTTATGTATTGCAGGCCCTCTATGCGTTGTCACGAGCTCTTGAGGCAGATCGATCATCTGAAATTCTTTGGATTGTTTATCTGCTTATATATCACAGCAATGCAGTGCCATATGGGAAGGAAGACATGTTCTTTCATGCGGTATGCTATCATATGAAATCTACTTTTACAAGGACTAATACTAGGAAGAGTGAATCAGTTCCTGCATGCTTTTTGGTGAATGCCTATAGTTGCTGTTGATATTTTGGCTACTCACTGTTTGTATACTGCTGTTGTTGGTTGCTCCTGATAACAAATGGTGTATGTATAACAATACATACACCTCTGTGAAGTTTCCTGATTTCCCCTTGCTATGCTTTTGGCCCACAGTTTGGCCAGTTAATAATTGGAGGGAATTTCTACTGGCTATGCTTTTTGCCCACATTTTGGCCAGTTAATAATTGGAGGGAATTTCTATATAGGTGGTGTATTTATATTGTATCTGTGTTTAATTTCATAATGTGGCTTTCTCTCTCACACTTTTTGTGAATATTATTATAAAAGTTTGGTATTAAAATTTAAAATTGAAATACAAATTCTTCTATGGATACTCTTCTCCTCTTGGTCTTCAGGTCAAACACAATGAAGGATCTTATGGACTTTGGCTTATGTACATCAACAGTAGGATACAGCTTGATGATCGGTTGGATGCGTATGATGCTGCTCTTTCAGCGCTCTGCCGCCATGCATCTGCCTCTGATGGAGATGAAAGGCATGCTAGTGCATGCATCTTAGACCTATTTTTGCAGATGGTGGAGTGTTTGTGCATGTCCGGGAATATTGAGAAGGCCATCCAGAGAATCTCTGGACTCTCCCTTGCTGAAACAAGTTCTAAAGAACCTCATAGCCTGTTGCTCTCTGATATCCTCACATGTTTGACCATTTCTGACAAACTTATATTCTGGGTTTCTTGTGTGTATTTAGTTATTTACAGGAAACTGCCCGATGCTGTTGTACAGCGGTTTGAATGTGAGAAAGAACTCCTTGCAATTGAATGGCCTTCCATTCACTTAGTAAATGATGAGAAGCAGAGGGCTGTGAAGCTGGCTGAAATAGCAGTGGATTCTGTTGAAGCTTATTTCAATAATGAATCACCTAAGAGTGAAGCCAATCTCAGATCAGGACAACTTTTTGCTGTTTGCCATGTTAGGTGTATGGTAGCGCTTGATGACTTAGAATGCAGTTGGAATTTGCTGGACAAATACATTAAGTTATACCCGTCTTGCTTAGAACTTGTTCTGACATCAGTGCGCTTGCAGAAACGTGATTTTGGTGATTCAAGTTTTATGGGTTTTGAGGGAGCTCTTATGAAGTGGCCTAAAGAAGTCCCTGGAATTCAGTGTATATGGAATCAATATGCTGAGTATGCCCTCCTGAATGGAAGACCTGGCTTTGCAAAAGAACTTATGGACCGTTGGTTTCACTCTGTTTGGAAGGTTCAATACTCTGAAGTTGACAATTTGGATGCCATGGATAATGAGATCTCTCATGGCTCGCCAGAATCCACTTCAGCATCAAATCTAGACTTTTCAGTGTCTAGTAAAAACCAAATGGATGTAATGTTTGGATTGCTCAATCTCTCTCTCCATAGGTTATTGCAGAACCATTTCAATGATGCCTGGTTAGCTATTGATAGGGCATTGAAGCTTGCAGCTCCTGAGAATTTTAATCATTGTGTTAGAGAGCATGCCATGTTTTTGCTTACTGATAAGTCAGGACCAAAAGGAGATGCAGTTTGGCTGCTGAACCTTTTGAAGCGTTATTTGGACACTGCCCGCTCTTTTCCTTGCCCCAAACCGTTGCCTAGACACTTTATTAACAACATTGATAAGCCAAGAGTCCGGCAGCTAGTTACTAACCTGCTAAGTCCAATTCCGACTGATTCTTCTCTGGTGAATTTGGTTCTTGAAGTGTGGTATGGTCCATCTCTTTTACCCCAAACGTTTTGTAAGCTAAAGGATCTAGTTGACTTTGTTGAAGCCATTATGGAGATTGTACCATCCAACTACCCATTGGCGTTTTCTGTTTGTAAGCTGCTCAGTGGAGGTGACAACCCTGGTGATGTTACACCGGCCAGTGTTTTGTTCTGGGCCTCCTCAACATTGGTCAGTGCGCTTTTTCAAGCCATGCCCATTGCTCCAGAGTATGTATGGGTAGAAGCTGCATATATTTTGGGCAATGTAAGCGGTATTGAGGGCATCTCTGAAAGGTTTTACAAGCGAGCTTTATCTGTATATCCATTCTCCATCAAGTTGTGGAAATGCTATTATAACCAATCTAACACTAAAGGAGACATGAACAACATTGTTGAAGCAGCAAGAGCAAAGGGTATAGAACTTTTTTGAAGTCTTTTATTTAATATTGCACAATTGTTAGAAACAGCATTTACCGGGGGAACTTTTAGTTCAGATCTGATGATTACTGGTTGGGGAGGCCATAGATGTAGATGATAGCATGTTACGACACTGGATGTATGTATTGCTGACAAGACACCCGTAGGGTGGATACAATTTTTGCTATTAGTTGTGAAACTAGGAAATAAATGAAGATAGTAGTATAGTTTAATAGGTTTTAGCGTTGATCAGTTAGGTTACTGCTTTTGTGAAGGTTAGCTGAGGTTTACTCCCTCCCTCTTTTAGTCTGTTGTTTTTTTTGGTTCAGTTTGCTTCATTTCTTTTGTATTTTTCCCAGTTCCCCTTATACTAAAGGATAAGCTTAGTACTGTTTTCTCATGTTTCGCGTAATTGTAACTACCCAGATACTTGTTCATGTAGTTGAGATGAAAAGAGTCGGAAAATTTCGCTTCACTATACCCTGTCTTTTTGATAATGTTACTGACTTTTTGAAGGAAACAAAGACATCTAATGCTTGTTTAATCTGATCTGTTAAGAAAGAATGTCACCTCTTCTTACTTCGTTTATCATAGACTCACCAGAAGTATGGCGCTACAGAAAATCTGCTTGGTTTCCAGGATAAGTGCTAAAACAATGGTTTATGCATGAAATTGAATCCTCTTAAGTTCATTGATATGATTTTTTGGAAAATTTTGCTGCTGTCTACTCTTTTAACATGGAGGTGGCTAAAGGGTTTAAATTTCGTATTTTGGTTAATTTTAAATTTGTGTCGTGAATAACAAAATGACCTTTTTCGCATTATTGGAAAACAGTTATTATTATTGGTACTGTAATTAGTAGTTATAATTATATTTGTTGTTTTTGTTGTCATTACTATTATTCTTATTCTTAACCACTTAGTACAATTTCATTTTTAATTTTAGGCATTGATCAGCCAGAAAGAAGTTTTAGTGAGTCTCCTGTTCAGATCCATGATCAGGGCCATGCTGAAAAAAGTTCTTTACAGTTTCACTCTACTGCTGATTTTAAGGAAAATGAATTTTCCCGAAGAGCTCACCCTTCAACTGCTTCTGCATTATTTTCTCCTCCTTTGGTCCTGAGGAGTGTGTTTGGTCATCTGAAAGTTGGATCATCAATTGCTTTATCGAATATGACTAAAATTCAACGGAATCACTCACATAACTTTTACATTGAAGAGGGTGCTTGTTTCAACTCTAATGAACCTCAGGATTGGTATTTGATAGAAGACTCAAACCAGGAGAGTCTTAGTAGCATCTTTGGGAGAGAATTTGGCTCTTATACCTGCAATCTTGCTGTTGACCCATTTTGGCCACTTTGTATGTATGAGCTCCGAGGAAAATGCAACAATGATGAATGTCCTTGGCAACACGTGAAGGACTTCTCAAATGGAAAAATATATAAGCATCAGCATGGCGATTCTGATGGTGCTGGTATGATTATTCCAATAAACATTTCTGTTGTTTTTTACTTTTTGCTTTCATATTTAAGCTATTGCTTGTGCAGATGGTCAGGCTGGGTTAACAATACATCAACAGGATTCTTTTGGTGCTTCCAAGTGTTGCGATAATTTGACTCCACCAATATATATAGTTGGTTTAGATATATTGAAAGCTGATTCACAATATGAGTCTGTTATAGCTAGAAGACACGGACAATGCTGGCAGAAATGTTTCAGTATTACCCTAGTGTTATCAAATATGTTTCAGAAGGACTTACCTGCAGAATTCTTGCATTCCAGTGATGGACGTATTGAAGTGTGTGGGGGTTGGAATAGACAATTCTCTTATTTTCAGAGTAGAGATGGCGTAATGGTTTGTGTATAACATTGTAATTAAATTCTTCATTGTTATTGCACTGTTTTTGGTTTCATTGCATTGGACATACATATTTAAATCAGGTTTTAATGATATTAAAAATTTCTTTGACATGTATATGATAATTGTTTGTATTCATTTACTCTGAAACTCCTCCTACATCACAAATGATAGCTGTTTTTTTTAAGTTGTTTGGTTCACACTCTCATTCATGGTTTCCTTCTTGCATGGTATACCTAGAAGCAACTGAAACAAGCTATGCCTAATAATGTCCAATCTGTGGAAATGGCTCTTCTTTTTCTCAATCAAGAGGCTGGCAGATTAGAGAGTATAAGAAAGGTAACCTTGCCTGATTACATCATTAACCTTTAGTATTCTAATCATGATTATAATCTTTTATTCCTGCAATAGTCTCAAATTCTTATGTATTGCAGGCCCTCTATGCGTTGTCACGAGCTCTTGAGGCAGATCGATCATCTGAAATTCTTTGGATTGTTTATCTGCTTATATATCACAGCAATGCAGTGCCATATGGGAAGGAAGACATGTTCTTTCATGCGGTATGCTATCATATGAAATCTACTTTTACAAGGACTAATACTAGGAAGAGTGAATCAGTTCCTGCATGCTTTTTGGTGAATGCCTATAGTTGCTGTTGATATTTTGGCTACTCACTGTTTGTATACTGCTGTTGTTGGTTGCTCCTGATAACAAATGTTGTATATATAACAATACATACACCTCTGTGAAGTTTCCTGATTTCCCCTTGCTATGCTTTTGGCCCACATTTTGGCCAGTTAATAATTGGAGGGAATTTCTACTGGCTATGCTTTTTGCCCACATTTTGGCCAGTTAATAATTGGAGGGAATTTCTATATAGGTGGTTTATTTATGTTGTATCTGTGTTGAATTTCATAATGTGGCTTTCTCTCTCACACTTTTTGTGAATATTATTATAAAAGTTTGGTATTAAAATTTAAAATTGAAATACAAATTCTTCTATGGATACTCTTCTCCTCTTGGTCTTCAGGTCAAACACAATGAAGGATCTTATGGACTTTGGCTTATGTACATCAACAGTAGGATACAGCTTGATGATCGGTTGGATGCGTATGATGCTGCTCTTTCAGCGCTCTGCCGCCATGCATCTGCCTCTGATGGAGATGAAAGGCATGCTAGTGCATGCATCTTAGACCTATTTTTGCAGATGGTGGAGTGTTTGTGCATGTCCGGGAATATTGAGAAGGCCATCCAGAGAATCTCTGGACTCTCCCTTGCTGAAACAAGTTCTAAAGAACCTCATAGCCTGTTGCTCTCTGATATCCTCACATGTTTGACCATTTCTGACAAACTTATATTCTGGGTTTCTTGTGTGTATTTAGTTATTTACAGGAAACTGCCCGATGCTGTTGTACAGCGGTTTGAATGTGAGAAAGAACTCCTTGCAATTGAATGGCCTTCCATTCACTTAGTAAATGATGAGAAGCAGAGGGCTGTGAAGCTGGCTGAAATAGCAGTGGATTCTGTTGAAGCTTATTTCAATAATGAATCACCTAAGAGTGAAGCCAATCTCAGATCAGGACAACTTTTTGCTGTTTGCCATGTTAGGTGTATGGTAGCGCTTGATGACTTAGAATGCAGTTGGAATTTGCTGGACAAATACATTAAGTTATACCCGTCTTGCTTAGAACTTGTTCTGACATCAGTGCGCTTGCAGAAACGTGATTTTGGTGATTCAAGTTTTATGGGTTTTGAGGGAGCTCTTATGAAGTGGCCTAAAGAAGTCCCTGGAATTCAGTGTATATGGAATCAATATGCTGAGTATGCCCTCCTGAATGGAAGACCTGGCTTTGCAAAAGAACTTATGGACCGTTGGTTTCACTCTGTTTGGAAGGTTCAATACTCTGAAGTTGACAATTTGGATGCCATGGATAATGAGATCTCTCATGGCTCGCCAGAATCCACTTCAGCATCAAATCTAGACTTTTCAGTGTCTAGTAAAAACCAAATGGATGTAATGTTTGGATTGCTCAATCTCTCTCTCCATAGGTTATTGCAGAACCATTTCAATGATGCCTGGTTAGCTATTGATAGGGCATTGAAGCTTGCAGCTCCTGAGAATTTTAATCATTGTGTTAGAGAGCATGCCATGTTTTTGCTTACTGATAAGTCAGGACCAAAAGGAGATGCAGTTTGGCTGCTGAACCTTTTGAAGCGTTATTTGGACACTGCCCGCTCTTTTCCTTGCCCCAAACCGTTGCCTAGACACTTTATTAACAACATTGATAAGCCAAGAGTCCGGCAGCTAGTTACTAACCTGCTAAGTCCAATTCCGACTGATTCTTCTCTGGTGAATTTGGTTCTTGAAGTGTGGTATGGTCCATCTCTTTTACCCCAAACGTTTTGTAAGCTAAAGGATCTAGTTGACTTTGTTGAAGCCATTATGGAGATTGTACCATCCAACTACCCATTGGCGTTTTCTGTTTGTAAGCTGCTCAGTGGAGGTGACAACCCTGGTGATGTTACACCGGCCAGTGTTTTGTTCTGGGCCTCCTCAACATTGGTCAGTGCGCTTTTTCAAGCCATGCCCATTGCTCCAGAGTATGTATGGGTAGAAGCTGCATATATTTTGGGCAATGTAAGCGGTATTGAGGGCATCTCTGAAAGGTTTTACAAGCGAGCTTTATCTGTATATCCATTCTCCATCAAGTTGTGGAAATGCTATTATAACCAATCTAACACTAAAGGAGACATGAACAACATTGTTGAAGCAGCAAGAGCAAAGGGTATAGAACTTTTTTGAAGTCTTTTATTTAATATTGCACAATTGTTAGAAACAGCATTTACCGGGGGAACTTTTAGTTCAGATCTGATGATTACTGGTTGGGGAGGCCATAGATGTAGATGATAGCATGTTACGACACTGGATGTATGTATTGCTGACAAGACACCCGTAGGGTGGATACAATTTTTGCTATTAGTTGTGAAACTAGGAAATAAATGAAGATAGTAGTATAGTTTAATAGGTTTTAGCGTTGATCAGTTAGGTTACTGCTTTTGTGAAGGTTAGCTGAGGTTTACTCCCTCCCTCTTTTAGTCTGTTGTTTTTTTTGGTTCAGTTTGCTTCATTTCTTTTGTATTTTTCCCAGTTCCCCTTATACTAAAGGATAAGCTTAGTACTGTTTTCTCATGTTTCGCGTAATTGTAACTACCCAGATACTTGTTCATGTAGTTGAGATGAAAAGAGTCGGAAAATTTCGCTTCACTATACCCTGTCTTTTTGATAATGTTACTGACTTTTTGAAGGAAACAAAGACATCTAATGCTTGTTTAATCTGATCTGTTAAGAAAGAATGTCACCTCTTCTTACTTCGTTTATCATAGACTCATCAGAAGTATGGCGCTACAGAAAATCTGCTTGGTTTCGAGGATAAGTGCTAAAACAATGGTTTATGCATGAAATTGAATCCTCTTAAGTTCATTGATATGATTTTTTGGAAAATTTTGCTGCTGTCTACTCTTTTAACATGGAGGTGGCTAAAGGGTTTAAATTTCGTATTTTGGTTAATTTTAAATTTGTGTCGTGAATAACAAAATGACCTTTTTGTATATACATATACACATCCCTTCACTTAATGATTATAATTTAGGGGTTTAGACATAATAAATCTCCCTTCTCCACTCGGCCACTCTGGACTTATTTAATATTAGCAAATTACAGGGATTAAATGAAAATTTCTACAACCAGGGGATTTAAATAATAGACTCACCATAATATTAAGAATAATGTTACACTTATACTATTTTTTTACTTGTAAACGTGATATATATTACAATTATATAAATTTTTATTATAATATTAAAAATTAAAAATAATTAAAAATTTGTGTGGTTGTGACATATGTCACCTCATGATGTAATAAAAATTATGTAAAAGAGTAATGTAAATGTAGTATTACTCTAATATTAAACAACAGCAACTATCACTTTCACTCTATCAGCGGTTTAAATGATATGTTGCCAAATGTTTGGCTATTTTTAAAGAAGTAAACTACATGTTCCCACCCAAGGTTTAGTGCAATAACAAGTTTTCCCAAGGTTTAGTGCAATAGCAAGTTTCCACCCCTGGTTTCATTTATTCCAGATTTCTACTATTAAATTAACATCGTTTCCTTAAATTTTAACTGTTCAATGTATTGAGGCTCATGTTAGCATGCTAACGGGTGTTGGTGCTCTTTTAAGTAAAAAATGGGCCCATGTTAGCAAGAAACGACTCACGTTAACATCACTCAAGCCGTCAGATTTTTGCTTTTTTTTTTACCGATCCCGAACTCTAAAATAACTTCTAAAACCACCGTTAGACTCCCTACGACCTCTTCTACAAAACCCATATCCCTACTTGCCATCATCACTCACTTTTTTGACCACTCCCACACTTGCCATCTTGTGATTTTGGGCATCTTCTCAGTTGTGTTTTGTTTGATTAGAGAGCAATTGACATCATCGGACTACACCAAAAGACTCTCCTTGTGTTGTAGTTTGTGTGGGTATGTTGTTTGACCGTTTTTGACTTTCTGTTCGTTAGAAATTGAAGCCCAAAGTCGCGTTTGCCACCTGCTGGATAAAATGCCCAAGTCGGTTTTCCAGATTCCCACTCTTAGAACAGTCATTGACAGTGTTTAACTAAGGGTTGGAATCTGGAATAAATGAAACCAGGGGTGGGAACTTGTAATTTTGCTAAACGTTGGGTGGGAACAGGTGTTTAGTCGTTTTAAAGTATTTACAATGGTCTTATTATTGAAGGGTTTCTCTAAAGGTTGAAATGTGGTTACTCTTACAAATTTCACCTAGGTTACCCACTGGACATACTGTTTGTCAACTTCTGATCCTTATTTCAAAGCTTTCCTTTGGAAGCTTAAACCCTCCAAACCCTAATTTTAATTTATATTACTTGGAATATTTGATAATTCATCATGAAAAATCTGAAACTCTACTCAGAGGTTTCTCTGAATCTGGAGTTACCACCAAAGGAAGAAACTCTACTGTTCTCAGCTTTGGACATCGAGCGGAACCGATTGTTCTTCGCTTCTTCAGCCAATAACATTTACACTGTTCAGCTTTCTTCTTTTCAAGTAAGCTAAGCTCTCACTTTCTCTGTTTCTTCTTGTTTCAAATATATTATATGATTGTCTACGCAAAGAGTTACTCGAAAGAAAAGGTTTTTCATTATCGAAAACACATTCATTGGATATTAATATTATGCTTCAGGAGATTAAATTAGTGCTTTTAGTGAGGCTCAAACTCCGTCCAGTTCCAGTAACATTACCGTTTTGAATTTTGGTTACAAATGAAGATATTTCGGTTTTATTTGATAATGCTTTTGTAACAGTTGTTATAAAAATTGTGATCATGAACTTTCATGTTGTCTCTGGCCTGGCACCTTTACCAAATTAGTACAGTGGCACTATACTTAAGTTAGATATAGAGTTATATCAGCTTATGTTTTGGGAAGTTTTATGTGTTGTAACTTTGAGGCATGCTGGAGCTGTAGGACTAAAGTTCATGGCAGGTACTATTCGTCTTATGGAAAAATATCCTTTTTTGATTATTGGAGTTGATGTATGTACAGAATGAAAGAGTGCCGGCTAAGACTTCAATTTCTGCAGAAGTTGATCAAGTTGAGTTGGAGGCTGGGGACTTTATTACGTCTTTTGATTATCTTATGGAGAAAGAAGCGCTGATAGTGGGAACTTCTGATGGACTTCTACAGCTGCATGGTGTGGATGGTAATTCAACAGAAGTTGTTGGTAAGGTTGAGGGTGGTGTTAGGTGCATATCACCTAGTCCAGATGGAGATCTGCTTGCTGTAATCTCTGGTTTTGGGCAGTTACTAGTGATGACTCATGATTGGGATTTGTTATATGAGAATCCACTGGAGGATCTTCCTGAAGGTGTTGACGTACGTAAGGACCTTTTTCCATTCTTCTCTGGTTATTTATTTTCTTTTTCCGTACAACTGTTGAAGCATGGTGCCATTATAGGTTTTTGGAATGTACTATCTGGCTAGTGAGGATAAGGAATCACAAATTTACATTGTGTGTATATGTGATGCTTCTTAACAAGAAAATATCTTTAACTAATTAGCTACTATGTATCCATTCTGAAAAGCTCATAATTGGTTGATTGCATTTGATTGCCTATATCATCTCCACCATTGGAGGCATTTGTGTGCTCAAATGTCCCTTTATATACTTTCTCATAGGACATTGCATTATGCATCTTTGTGATACTTAGAAGATTTATGGACAAGGCCTTGGCTTTATTTCAGGTGAACCAGATTTTTCATCCACATATACATCTGAGAGTCCCATTTCTTGGCGAGGTGATGGGAAATACTTTGCCACTCTAAATGAGTCGAGTGATTCTACTTCCTTGCATAAGAGGCTTAAGGTCTGGGAACGAGATTCTGGGACATTGCAAGGTTCTTCAGAACCAAAGGTATTCATGGGAGCAGTTTTAGAATGGATGCCCAGTGGAGCAAAAATTGCAGTTGTCTATGATCGAACAGTGGAGAATAAGTGTCCTTCAATAGCTTTCTTTGAGAGGAATGGGTTAGAAAGAAGTTCCTTCAGCATTAATGAGCAAATAGATGCAACAGTAGAAATTTTGAAGTGGAACAGCGGCTCAGATCTTCTTGCAGCTGTTGTCAGGTGTGGGAATTATGACTTTGTTAAGATCTGGTTTTTCAGCAACAATCACTGGTACTTAAAGCATGAAATTAGATACTTGAGGCAGGATGGCATGAGGTTGATGTGGCATCCAACAAAGCCATTGCAGTTGATATGTTGGACTCTTGATGGGCAAATTACAATTTGTGACTTCATTTGGACAACAGCTGTCATGGAGAACTCAACTGCATTAGTCATTGATGGCTCCAAGATTCTTGTAACCCCCCTTTCTTTATCCTTAATTCCACCTCCTATGTATTTGTTTAGCCTGAAATTTCCAGCTGCTGTCCAAGAGATGGCTTTCTATACCAATAGTTCTAAGAATTGTCTGGCTGCATCTTTGTCTGATGGTTGTTTGTGTGTCGCGGAGCTTCCTGCTTCTGATATGTGGGAAGAAATGGATGGCAAAGAATTTTTTGTTGAAGCTTCCATTTCTGATATAGCATTTGGATCATTCATACATCTGATATGGCTGGACTCACATGTTCTCCTTTCTGTTTCTCATTATGGTTTCAGCCATAGCAATTGCTCTTCTCGAGCCACATCAAGTGAGGCTGCACTTCTTGGTTTCTATATGCAGGAGATCACACTTGAATGTTCTGAGGATCAAGCCCCAGGTTTAACTACGTGTTCTGGATGGCATGCTAAAATTTCCAACCAAAATTCCCTAGAAGGGTTTGTGATTGGCATTGCTCCAAATCCTGCTAAAAGATGTTCAGCATTTCTTCAGTTTGGTGGTGGAAAAATTGTTGAGTACACTTCAAAACTGGGCATAAGTAGAGATGCTGTAAAACATGATGATATAAGCTTTTCATCATCTTGCCCTTGGATGAGTGTGGTTCCGGTTGGTACCGATGGGCCATTGAGGCCTTTGCTCTTTGGACTTGATGATGTTGGTCGGCTGCAAGTTAGTGGGAAAATCATATGCAACAACTGCAGCAGTTTCTCATTTTACTCAAAGTTGGATGACAAAGTGATCTCACATTTGATCCTTGCAACTAAACAAGATTTACTCTTTATTGTTGACATTAGTCATATATTGCGCGGAGAATTAGAGTTGAAGTATGAAAACTTCATACATGTTGCTAGTAGAAGAAAAGAAGAAGAAAGCATTAGCTTTATAAATATTTGGGAAAGAGGTGCGAAAATTGTTGGTGTCCTGCATGGAGATGAAGCTGCGGTCATATTACAAACAACCCGGGGAAACCTAGAATGCATCTACCCTAGAAAATTGGTACTGTCTTCAATTGTCAATGCGTTGATCCAGCAACGCTTCGGAGATGCATTAGTTATGGTGAGGCGGCATAGGATTGACTTTAATGTTATTGTTGACTATTGTGGTTGGCAAGAATTTCTCCAATCAGCTTTGGAGTTTGTTAAGCAGGTTAAGAATTTGAGCCACATAACTGAGTTTGTTTGTGCCATAAAGAATGAAAATATTACAGAAACTTTATACAAAAAATTTGAATTTCTCTCTCTGCCTTGCCATAAGGAGTCTAAAGATGTGCAAGCCAAAGATTTCAGGGATTCTGAAGCT